ATTCTGTAAGGTTTTTGATACTTAGGAGGGGTTGTTTTTCCAAAAATAAAAAAATAAATAAACTGTTTTCACTTTATAAATTGCTTTTAACATAGTTTTCTTTGTGACAAATGTACCCTGATTCCGTAAGGTTTCTAATACGTAGGAGGAGCTCACTTTGCTAAAAGTAAATAGTTTTCACGAGTTGCTTTTAGTGTTTTCTTTTACAGCAAATGTACTCTAATTCCAAAGGTTCTTGATACCTAGGAAAGATCACATTGCCAAGAACAAAATGGTTTGTACATGATGGAATGATGTTGCATGGGAACCTTTCTCCTTCACATCAATCCTCCTTCCTCCTCTTTCCTCATCTTGCCCCTCTTCTAAGCTTATCCTTCGCAAAAATCTCTGTGCTTCTTTTTGGTCTTTGTTGTTTCGTAGTTTCCTAATTCACAACAAAGAGGGGCAGTTGTCAACACCCAATTTTTTATTGGTCCTCTATTTGAACCCCCAACTCACCCTAAAACACCAATTAAACCATTTCGACCTTGTTAGAACCTATAGAATCCAAAGAACCCAAATCCTTAAAATCCGTCGTTGAACCCACCTAATACCCTTAAAGCCCAAAAATACACCCTCACTCCAAACTCCCAAAATCACCCCCTCATACCAAATTACCAAAATACCCTCCATGACCAAATTACCCAAAACTACCCTCTTTTCAAGTCATTGAAACTACCCTTCATTCCATACTCCCCAAATCACCCCCCTTGTACCAAATTACCAAAATGCCCTTGACCAAATTACCAAAACATCACTCCTAAAATTCCAGAAATACCCATCATGTCAAATGACCAAATTACCTTTCATTCCCCAAGATACCCATTTACAAACTTACCAAAATACCTTTCAACCCTAAAATTACCAAAATGCCCTTCATTCTTCAAATTACCTAAATACCCCTCTAAGGCTACCCCATTGGACCCCAAATTACCAATTTTCCCTATGAGCCCAAATCGCTAAATCATCCTTTTATCCCAAATTACCAAATTGCCCCCAAAACCATAAATTACAAAATTACACTTTGGACCCCAAGTTACGGAACCCTCCTATCCCTTTAAACCCTGACTCACCAAAACCCCCTTCCATTTTCAAGAGTTGACAAAACCTCCCCTTGCCCTCCATTATAAATAGAGGCACCAATCCCAAGAGGTCGAGGGAAGAGGGGAGATTAAATAGTATAAGAAAGGTCCAATGAATAGAGGTGACCCAAAATTGAATTGGTGGAAGGTAGGGGTGATCATTTTAGCCCAACCTAGAAATTCCGGGCTTGGGCCTGGGTTTTGTGTTCAAACCTGGCCCAGGCCCGAGCCCACATCAGGCCCGTAAATTTTAGGGCCGGGCTTGGGCTTAATACTTCAAGCCAGACCCAGGCCCAACCCAGCCAACATATATTTAAACTTACACATTTTGTGTATAACATATACATATGTATACATGTTATTTTACATTATATTATATATTTTATATATAAATATTATAACATGACATGTATAATTTATATTATATAATGTATAAAATAAGTTTATATGCATGTTATGTCATTTAATATATAGATATATAATATTTTATATTATATAATGTATAAAATAAGTTTATATGCATGTTATGTCATTTAATATATAGATATGTAATGTTTTATATATGAGTGACATTGGCCCAGAATCAGGTCCGGCCCAGCCCGAGCCCATATAGACTTGGGCTAGGGGTTATGTTTCAGGCCCAGAACCTCGGGCCCGGGCCTAAGCTATAGCCCTTATCATAAGTGCAAAGCCCGGCCCCGCTCGGCCCATGATCACCCCTAGTGGGAGGACTTCGAGAATAGAGAAGGGATGAGAGTAGGGGTGCAAGTCGGGTTGGCCCGACTTAACAGTTTACACTGTTTCAGGCTCGGGTTTCAGGTTGGGCCTATTAAAAATTTGACAAAATCCCAACCCTAACCCGGAAAAATTGCACCCTTAAATGAGAGAGAGCTAGAATGGTTTCAAAATCAGTGAGAGGGCTTCGAGAGTAGAGAAGAGACAAGAGTGCTAATGGTTTTAGAGGAGAAAGGTCTTCGAGAGTTCGAGAGAAAGCACAAGAGAGGAAGAGAGCGATGAGAGAAGGTTTTTGAGAGAGTGAAGAGAGAGAGATGAAAGAGGATTCTTCAAAGAGCAAAAGGGGGAAGATGAGCTTAGAACGGTTCGAATAAGAAGAGGACCCACCTCAAGGGATCGGTTGTGTATTTTCTAGGCAAACCTCAGAAGGGTGCCCTGGGTTTGAAGTATTTAGCAGAAGAAGAACACCTATTCTGCTCCATTTTCTCCTCTATGACATCTTTGTGCTGATGGTTTAGATCCCATGGTTTATTGTTCGAAGTCCAGCTGAAACTTTATTGTGTGAGCGCCATTTTCAACGAAGAATGGATCCTTGTAACATCTTGAAGCATTGTTTCCTCGGTCTAAGGCTATATTGAGGTAATGCCCTTACCTCATACTTAGTTGTTTAGATTTGAGTTTCATGCACTCATTAGACAGATTTTGATTTAGTTCAATTCTTTTATTAGCTTTTTTCATTCCTTCTTTTCTGTTCAACTCCTCTAGTTCTTTCGTATCTTGTATGTACGCTCTTTCAACTTTCACGAGTGTGAAAGTTGTTGCGTTTACTGGGAATTTGTAGGGAATTGATACGCTCTTTCAACTCTTCCGACCAGCCAACTGAATCCAAAGGTCGGGCTTCTGATAGAAAAGGGGTGGGGTTTCTCACCCTTTTTCTCAGTCCCATGCATCCAAAAGGAGGTTGGTCTACAAGAGGAAAAAGAAGCACTCTCAATGACCTTCCAAATTGTCAGAGAATATTGACTCTCAATCCGATTTTTTTCTTTTTTTATATTTGTTATTTTGAAAATTATACTTAGGGATTTGGCAATCACACTGACTAGAGGAATGCCTAATCCCTTCCCTCTTTCTCTCTCAACTTACCCAGACTAGCCTTGTCTAGGCCAAGGAGTGTGGAGTCACTAGCATTCAATTGATTTTGAAATAATGCAATTCCGGGGGCCCATCACTCCTAGTTATCTATTCTGATTGGTAGCGACTCCATCCGCTTGGCTATGAAGTGAACAGCCGAGTTTTTTTCTGATGTTCACACTTATTTTATATATAAAATCATCGATCACCTTTAAACCTTCTACAATAAGATTCAAAACATGAACACCACATCAAATATGAAAATGATTATGACAAGGCAAAGACAATTTAAGTTGATCATGCAAAATAACTTGCATATTATTATTGCCTCTTGCATTATCCAAGGTGATTGTGAATATTTTGTGTTTAATACCCCGTGTTTTCAATAAATCACACATTTCTTCATATAAATAAAATGCATTATATGGAAGAAGAACATGAAAAAATTTCAAAATTTCGCTATTCAATTTCCAATTATAATTCACCTAATGTACAGTAAGACAAAGGTATCTTGAGTAAAGGAAGAAACTCACATATCACATGCCGAATAAATTCTATTAGGAACATTATTTAAAGCAAATTTATTTATTTTTCAAACAATGTACTTTAACAGTGTTCCTATTCAACGTTTTAGCATTTCATTTAGATAACACTAAATATCTCTTATCCCTTCGTACTCAACATATGAAAATGGATGGTATGAACACTGAATCAAATCTCCTTGCAGATAGAAAATGATCAAATGAGGAGTGCAGGGTTTGACGCTTTTTCGAAATCTAGAACTTTTTTTTAATACAAATGATTTCAAATAAATAAATGCACAGATTTACTTGGGCAACCATTAATATGCAACGTGGCAACTGTACATTAGGGAAAATAATTCCTGCCCAGAGTGGGCAACCCAAGTTTTCCCCCAAAACATCACATCCATCATGTGCCGTGTACAAATACAGTTTGAACAATTTGTACCGCTAAAATTCCTCCATGGATGGGCAGCCCATCCACGAGAGAGATCAGCTTCCGTCAGTGTAAACTTATAACCACACCGTTCTAACTGCTTTTTGCAATCTTGCATTGAAAATATTTTCTTATGAAATAAAAAATAAGTATGAAAATATTTTCAATATAAGGCTGTAGAGGCTGTTCGAACAGGCTTTGCCCTGACCTAAGCCAAATTCTCCACAAGAACAGGCTGTAGTGGAGATCACATCAGTGCCCCAGTCGGCACACCCCACATGCACGATAGACTGTTGGGATGTTTGTGAGGTGCCCGTGATGTAAACTCTGCTCAGTGGGGGCACTGTGATAGGGGTATAACTTTTTCGGGTTAGGATTGAGATTTTGTCAAATTTTCAATAGGCCCAATCCGAAACCCGAGCCCAAACAGTGTAAACTGTTAATTTGGGCCAACCCAACTTGCACCCCTACTATGTGGGAAGCCCATCCGAAGTCGATTAACAGTAACACCGCATTTGAGAGGGCTTTTGGTTGATTGAGCTTGCATTGACCGACCATTTTGGAGAAGATAGCTTCATTGGAAAATCAAATTTGCTGCTCATATAAGCTTATTTTGAACTTTCCAGCAAGGTTCAAAATATCGATACACCCGATGGACGTATCGGACATATCGATACAGCTTTTAGTGCTCTTTTTTTTTCGCAACTGGTTCAAAAGAACCTGTTTTGGCCGTCTTCACACCCTGAACTGGTCAGACCCCCACCCACTGTAGAAGCGTATCGGAGGGGTCCCAGAACGATACGTGTCAGCCAATACGGACTGACATGTGTCGATACTTTTGAACCTTGGTTTCCAGTAACTTTTCAGACAGATTTACAGCTTTCTTTGGGTTTCACAGCTCATGTAACGCCAAAAGGTGCTTAGTAAAATCCCTAACAAACGGGCATTAAAAAGAAAAGGAAAAAAGGTGCGACAGCTTTCCATACGTCAAAGCAGCCGGAAGCAAAGAATTTTCAGTCCAATAGAGCTCCAATGTGTTTACCGTTTATGGCAATGTGGGCCAACCGCCGATAATTCAGTCCGAGATTTTCATCATTACAGGTTTAACAGTCTTCAGAACATTGCTTTGGATATACCAATCAAAAGCTTCAAACTTTTTATTTTCTTCCCGGACACAGATACTTAAGCTGCCAGCATATCAAATAAAAGAAAAAACATTTGAATTACACTATTTATATATTTTTTCAAATTTTCTGCTCAACAAGTTTCGTCAATGCACACAAACACCACTACTCATTTACAGGGTTCAGCAACAACAACGCTTAGAAATGGCCAAACTGGAGGAAGAGACGACAAAGAACCTCCTATTGCAGGTGAGAGGATGTGCTCAATGTATCTTTCGACGAAATCGTCCCAACAAAGAACCTCCCATGTTTTTGAGTAACCTGTAAATACAAACAAGAAAACATCAGTAAATGGGTCTATAGGAAATCCATTACCATAAAAACAGGCACATACGCATGCAAATGGGTCAAGTCTCATTTAGTCCGCCGTAGAATTTGGAAAGAATCAACCGTCTCAGTCTCCGCAGACTCCACCATTGGTTCTCTTCAATAAATGAAGCAAGTAAGCTCCTGAAGCCTACCTCTTTGCTCATTCAAAATTTCCTAAATTAAATTAATCCAAGTTGGAAATACTTAAATGGATCATCCATCAGTTTTCGGTTTTCCCCTTAACATCCAGTAATAAATCGGACAGCTACATCTTAATCATTTTGTTGATAATATGTATAAAATATTATCAGTACCAACTTGTCATGTTCCTAGTGTGGCAATTGCATGGGTCGGTGGATTGGATAGAGTACAAGCTGATGACCAAAGCATCCACTAACCACCCACACCCACAGGTACCCTTGATCCCAAACCTTTTAACTTTTCCTCTCAATTTCCCAAACCCTTTAAACCCATCCCACCCGATTATCATATGATCGAGCTAAACTTTTCTTCAAATTCAATATTAAGTATACAAAAAAGTTCTTCAAAATTCATTATCAACCAAACATTCAACAAGAACCAACATTACATAGAATGCTTCATATAAAAGAACAAAACAAAATAGTATAAGTCAAAAAATAAATAAAACTGATTGACATACGAGAGTTGTTATTTCAAGAACTCTTGCTGCCTTCTAATCCTCATTGGAACATCATCCTCAACTGAAGAGATGTACATTGAATCAGCTATTGAAGAAGATCCTACATATCTAGATATTTTACAATAAGATCATCATTTCAAAACGAGTTCGAGTTTGAATTTGAATTTGAATTTGAATTTTGAAAAATAGATACCATTTGCAATCTTAATTACAGCAATAAAATTTTAAAAATAACTATAAATAGATAGCATTTGCAATCCCAAATCCTAATAACATTATTTTAAAGACCATTTGAATTTAGAAATAATTACTTTTAAAATTAATTGATAAAAAATTAAAATTCATTCACAAATATTTCACCTAGAACTATTGTTTGGATTGGACTTAAACTTGCCCAAACCAATTGATTCTTAATTTGACTTTAGACAAATAGATGCCATTTGTATTTTGCAATCTTAAATCCTAATTATGTTAATTTAAAATCCATTTAAATTTAATAATAATTATGTCAATAAAATTTTAAAAGTAACTAATATATTAAATTCATAGACAAGCAACTCACCTAATAATACTTGGATTGGACTTGAACCTAACCAATTGCCCCAAACTTACAAATTAACCAATTAGGAATGTCATAGGCCACAGGGCTCCTTTGTCAGTTCGCCCTAGCTTCTACTTAATTAATTTCTCTTAATATATTATATAATTATAAATTATTTTATACTATATATTAAGGTCGGGACGGGTCGGATACCCAAAAAATTCCCATTTATACAGCATTAATGTGGGTTGCACCCCAACCTAATAACTCACACTAACAACTATGACCTAACCAGTGGAGAGAAGAGAGAGGAAGAGCAGATCCGTGCCCACCCACTTGAACTCAACCTAGTGGATGAGATAAAGCCAAGCCTTCTTATTCATGAGAACACTGGAGCTTCACACCATCAAGATTTAGAGCAGGAAATGCATTCCTCTAAAATACCTTTTGCATGGCAAAAAAATGAAGTTACCATGGACTTAGATGGCAACTAGGAAATGGTAACAAAATAAAACTCTAGGTAGTTAACTGGATATGGATAAATTTCTTTCAGACTTTTCTCAGCAGAAGGATTCTAGTTAACCTCAAGAAAAACTTGGAAGCTCAAAAGAACAATGTTGTACAGTAAAAGCCACCCCCATTCCCTCATGCCTTGACAGGATTTCTTGTTTCAGGGACCAGACCCTAAGGGTAAGTTCTCAACTAAATCTTACTATGCTTCCTGAGATAATAAAACCAGAACAATATGATCACATACTGGCCAAGGTCCAGAAGATTGGCTGCCCGCCATAGGACTGATGTTCCTATGGTTCTTGATCTGAAATAGACTAAAGTTGCTCATTAAAAAAACAGATTTTCCTTTAACAGTAACACATTTATAATTCAAATGTTTTTATTTTGATCAGCAATAATATGAATTTATTAAATAAAATTAAGTATAAAATTATACAATTTAGAGACCCATTTGTGAATACAAAATGGAGCATTGCCCACGCTCTCTCCCCTCATTCCAAATTATTACAATTCAGCCCAAAACAGTTATTTATATTGACCCCTGCTTGGGTAACATGTCACCCCAAACCATTTGTATATCTAGTAGCCCACTTATAATACAAATTTTCATTTGCAAAGCATATTTGGAACATTGGAATTGGTTTGACAATGTAGATTCCCATGACATGGCAGTCATTTTGGAGATAATCCTTGAGTCAAAGAAAAGAGGGGAGATAGAAGATGAAGATGGTCATCTACCTAAGCCTTGTGCCCTGTCTGAACTATCATTGAGTCCAAGGTTCAAAACCGGTTCAGGGGGGCAGTTTAGAGCTCCTCCACCCCCAGATACACCCACTGTAGGGGTGTATCAAAGAGGTCCCGGAACGATACGTATCGGCCAATACGTATCAATACTTTGAACCTTGATTGAGTCAAAGAAAAGAGGGGAGATGGAAGATGAAGATGGTCATCTACCTAAGCCTTGTACCCTGTCTGAAGTCTGAACTAACATGATCTAGGTAAAAAAAAACATAAAAGCAGTGTTTAGTGTTTATACTATGGTTTTGTTGAATTCATTTTGTGGAAAGAAAACTAATCCTTACCTTATTATCAAGGCATGTGCAATTGAATATGAACTCGTTGAAAAAAGTCACCCTCTTCCCCAACATTTATAAAGGACAGTAAATAAAAAAATAAATTTTGATGTTGCTGTTGGAAAATCAGGTTATGCTCCCATTGAACTCATTGCATGAGATGCATCAGGTAAAACCTTTGGTGGCTAGAGCTCAGTTCACCAGAAAAGTTCATAGATGCTGAAGAGTGGGCAATGAGGAAATATTCTTCTAGCTAAAGAGACAGCCAAGTAGTCTAAATCAATGGAGATTCAAAGATGGTAGTTGATAGGTTAGATGGCCGCATAGAAACAGCATGGATGTAAGTTCCTTTGTCAGGAACCATCTATTCATGGCAGAAAAAAAAAGAAAGGATTGAAGTCAATGTTGTGCATACTCTATTGAAAGGTAACTCTATAGCTGATAGGTTGGCACGAGACAAGACAGATTTCTTCAAGCTAAGTAGGATCTTATCCTTCCAGACAATTTTGTACATACTCCATTAAAGCATAACTCTGTAGCTGACAGATTGGCAAATGAAACAAGAAAAAGATTTCTTCAAGCTAGATAGGATGTCATCCTTCCAGCCTAGTCTCTTTCTGTAGCAGATAGTTCTGGCATGCTTCTGGTTAGACCTTGTTATTATTTCTTGCTGTGATTCTCAAAATAAATAAATAAAGATAAAAGATGTATTAATGGAAATATGTACCCCTAAAAAGTGATAAATACTTGAAGACTGGCTTAGTGCTCAGTAAGTGAAGTACCTATGCCTATTGCCAGCTCAGTTATGACCTTCCTTCTAACGACATTGTAATCTAATATAATGGAATTGGCTAGTTGTCCAAAAAGTTATTGCAATTATATACCAAAAAACAGTTATTGCCAATATAGCCACATTATAATGGCCAATGAAATATACCACAATTGTCTTTTATTCTTCTAGCATTATCATATGATCAACCACCCACCATCTCCAGATAGGTGCCCCATCTCCACTCATTTAAACTGGGCATATGACTCAATCCCAAGTCCATTAATGGCTAGATGACCCCTTGAAAAATGGATATAATACTTAACATCCAACAAGTTATTCAATCATCTGAACATGGTACACCTAAGATGTGTTTCCCTTTCCATCCACCTACCTACATTCTTTGAGGTAACCATACTTAGTGTTTCCCTTAATATCCACCAGCCTACATTAGTGATCTAGCTGGGCATCAATTAGTACCAACTGCCTTATTAATGGATACTGAAACAGAACAATGCAGATTCTCAAAAGAAAAATAGCATCTGAAAAGGGAATTTAGGAAATACTTAGGAACAGCATGCTGCAGAACGGGATCTTTCTGCTGGTCTATCCACTAGAACCATCCCTGCTGGATTCTGAGCAGGCTGAGCTCGAGGCAACCTCTTAGCTGATTGCACCAAGCAAAAAAGGAAAAATAAGATCACTATAACAGAACAAATAAACCAAGTAAGAAGAAAACAGAAAGCTAAGAAGCATTAAAACAGCTAGCTGCATGAACATATATAACCAAAGCAATAATGAAATGGAATGAAGTTGATAAGTGCTTATTTTGGTAACGAAAGAACTTGACAATCAATAAAATCTGAGAACAAATATTACCCCAAGAATGGACCATCTGCACTAAAAATAACACAATTGAACATTTGAAAAAAAATATATGTCAGAGAAGTTTTAGCATCAAATAATTCACTCATACCACTTGAAAACATGGAAAGGGTAGAACCATTACTGAGAAGCTAGTTAGCAGTTCAGTGGCTGAAAACTCTAAAGCTCTTTGATGCATACTCTTTTGAAGACCTATGGAGAAGCTAGTTAGCAGTGGCTGATACTTCTACCAGGAAGGATAGACATGTGGCTGAATGGATGCCATTAGGGGAGGAGTTTATTAAGCTGAACTTTGGTGGAAGTAGCTGAGGAAATCCAGGACCTTCAGGCATAGGAGTGCTGAGAAACAAAGACAATAGCATTATATCTTTGTACTCTAGTCCTATGGGTGTAGGAGACTCTTTAAGGGCAGAATTACTTGCTCATGTACAAGGAATCCAGCTTGCAAATCAGCTAGGCATAGAGCATCTGATTATTTTAGGGGATTCCCAGGTGAAAGTGGGCTGGCTGAAGGACCCGGAAACTGTGATCTGGGGTTTTAGAGATCTTCTCAAAAAGGTTAAATGGCTAACAAGGAATATGGCAATCAGAGTTCAGTGGGTAGGCAGATCAACAAACTCAATGGATGATTCACTTGCAAAACAAGGGGTTCTTCGTGCTACTTTATTTTGGGCTTCTGTGTAATTTCTTTTGTACTTATAATTCTGTAACTAGTTTTAAAGGAAAGGTCGCATCTTGTGCCTTTCCATGGGTTGCATGTAACTCTTATTTGGTGGTTTAATAAAATCTTATTCATTTATCAAAAAAAAAAAATTGAACCAATAAGGAAGAACTTGAAAATAATGAACATGTACGATATTGTTATCCTGCATTTTGTTGACACAGATTCCCATTGTATCATTCTCTTTTCTCTCTTTCTTTTGGGTTGGGTGTGGAGGGGTGGGGAGCATAAGTATGTGCCTATGCCCAAATGTCCTCTGATCTGAACAAAAAAAAATTGTAGAATTTTCATATTTTTGTTTTAGGCAGAGTTTGGGAGTGCTTATTTGAAAAATAAGTCTTATTGAATAAGTGCTTATTCTAATTGGTTAAAAGGCACTTATTTCAAAAGGGGCAGTATAGGTATTTTCAAGATGATGTGGCAGGCCAAGACAGGCCAAAAAGGAGATAAGCACTTAAAAATAAGTCCAAATTCTGTGATTAAGCATTTATTCGGGCTTATTTCCCAAACGCAAATAAGAGCTTATTGGTGTGATACTGTGATCCTGGCCCAAAATAAGTGCCTATTTTTAAGCACTCCCAAACTTAGCGTTAAGCTAGAAGGATAAAACATTGTTTTATTTTAGTTTTTTTTTTTCAGAATCTCATCTGACCATCTTAGTAGCTACTGCATTTCATGGTTCTGGTTCCAAATTAAGCTAATGATGGACATCGATTTCTTTTGCAAATCAGCAATGAGGAGACACCATAGCAAACCTATTTCATAGAATATGTCATTGACATTGATGGCAGTTTTGGCAGACGTTTCCATGAAGAAAAGGCCATTCTCCTCAGCATATGTGCGTGCTTCCTGCAACAGAGTAACATGATAAATATGGAAATTTAGGATATAAAAAACCTATTATAACATGAAAATTTATGCAAATTAGATTGAATACAATTTATACAACAGAGAAGAAATCCTAGAAGCATATACTAAGAGTTCTGTGAACAGTTGCAACAAAAGAAAACACTCTCCAATCTGTGAAAAACTAGAAAGTTGATCCCTTGGTAGTCAACCCCCCAATAGTCCAATACATATTATCCCCATCCACCCCTGATTGGCTAAAGCATCCACTAAACTACACTGATCTTTGTATCCCTAAAAATTGTGCTCTCAACTCACTAACCAGTTACCTTTTGTTTTTCTTGATAAATAAGATAGAATTTCATTAAGATTTCAAAGGGCATATGCATACAAACAGAGGGACAAGGTTCAAAGTATTGATACGATATGAGTTTCGTCCGTATCGTATAGGTACTTAGAAACAGCCGAAACTCCTTTTTTTAGTTTTTTTTTCAAATTTTGGTTTTTTGGGAAGCTTTTAGCATGCTTTTTATTATTAAAAAAAATTGGGGGTCCAAAACACCTGGAAACAGGCGTTTCGGACCGTATTGTTTTCAAAAGATACAATACAGTATGCCCGATACGGGGCGTATCGTATCGATACTTTGAACCATGAGAGGGAGGTAAGCTACCTTAACTCCCCTGCAACCAGCAAAACAACTCACTTACCAGTTACCTTACTTCCCTTATGGTGCATCTGTACTCTATATTGCCATGGGGCTGGTTTGTTGTTTCTTATCCCGCCCAGAACAACACAGGAATCACCTTCCAATACAATGTCCATGTAATTTAATCATTTATCCATTTTCAAACTTGAAGAGATAGCAGTTCAGCTCTTCTTGTCCTATGGGTACTACATGAAAATTATTAAACCTTTAAACTTATTCTAAGTGGAGGAAGAGATTATCTTGACATATTGTAGCCATTTTAGAAGCATCATTTTTATCACTTTATAACAATGTAAGTATTTATAAGTGAACGTTCATTTACAATTTTTTGAAGAGAGATAACTTATATTCATAAAGGGGAGAGGGATGTACAAACAGGCCAAAAAAACACAAAAAGAAGAGCCTATAACAAACTAAGATGGCAAAGAGTTAGCACTATACAAAAAATCCCTTCCCAATCCTTGCTTTGCTAAAACATCTGCAGTTCTATTGATCTCCCGGGGAATCTATCTAAAGGCGCAGTTCAGTAGAGAAGACAGCTCAAGAATTTCTGCAAGGAGGTGAGCTAGCCTCCATGGACCCTCATCTGATTCTTTATGTCCACTTAATGGTAACTCTAGAGTCTCTTCTACTGCTAATGGACTGAAATGGAGCCTCTTAGCAACTCTAAATCCTTCTAGAAGGGAGACTTCTGATTCTGAGGCATCTGCAGCTTGAACTGGGCCACTAAAGGCCCATAAGATGTCTCCAGTAGTGTTCTCACAGTACCCCCTATTCCAGCTGCTGATGGAGGAAGCAGCGACCATGTAAAACTGCCATCAAACTGCAACAGGTAATCACACTCCCTACTTGGGGGAGGAAGAGTTAGTACAGTTGGAGAGGAAGGGGAAGTATACAGGATTTGCAGCCAGATTCTTTGTAACTCCCCTCTGCTCACCCTATCAAAGAGTTGGTGGACCAGCATCCAAGAGAAGATTTGGGATAAGATCTTCTCGTTTACAATTTAATATTTAAAATGTTAGAAAATACTTATACAAACCTATTAGAATTTTCAACATTTCTGACATCTCTTATTTTTATGTGGTCAACGTTTCTACTAAAACCAACATTTTAAACCTTGACTAAATCCAAATATTTGAAATGAAACTGACAAATGTAAAAAAAAAAAAAAAATATATATGAAAATCAAGAATATGAAGAGCTAAAAGGCTTTAGTGTACTAACATGCCTGAAGTAGGCGTAAAAAAAAAATGTCTGAAGTAGACACCAACATAAAATGGAAGCTTCATTCTCATAAATATACTCATGTCCAATATAATATCACTATTATGTCCAAAAGTTAGGTCTTCATCCAGTCCAACACCCCCCCCCCAAAGAGTTCAGAAAGCCGTGACCAACATTGGGTACTGGAATTTCATGCATACAACCTCATATAGTTTGGAATTTTAGTTCAGACTTTGTAAAGTAGAACGACTAACATGTTCTTCTATACATGCATTCACATTAACTAAATTACATCAAGATCCCCCAAGTCACATCATAAAAAACATACCATTCTCATAAATCTAATCATGTTCAATACAAAATGACTATCACTGTCAAACACATACTATCATATATCCAACCCTGCATAGTTTGACATTTCAGTTAAGATTTTGTTGAGTACAACTAATTATATCAGACACATAAGATCATATATCACATTAACTAAATTATATCAGAGAAGCATCTTATGATGTATGATACTCTGTTGGGTGAGACATTTGTGAAAACTTAAGTCAAGATTAAAAGCAGCCACTTTGTGCCAAAACTTCCAATGGTTAGGACCATATCCATTCAACCCCTCTCAAGACCCTGGGTAACCAAGACCAACATAGGGTAACAACCCTTTTAATAGAAATACATCCATTGTTCCTAACTGAGGCATTATATAAGGCACACATACACAGAAAAGTAGTTGAGAAATAATAGATGGATTAATGCTGAGATTTAATGTTATTACTAGATTTTATTTACAGACTTAGATCATATTTTAGAGCCTACTTTTCCTAGATAGATGGCACATGATCTACATGAGCAAATAAAACATTAATAAACCATCTTATCATATCAGAAATATGGGAATTCATTTTATTAAGGGAACATGGGAAATGAAAGTCGAACCATAGGAACAGCAGGGTAGTGACAGACAACATAAACTAATTGTGAAAAATATTCAGATATTTTGATTTCTTCATACTTCTATGAGTTGAAGTATGAAGAAATCCTAAGAAGGTATCCCTCATACTCAAGTTGATGCATAAATCACAAGTTAGTGACACTAAGATCACTACATTATAGACTAAGGATCGAGATGATAGAACAAGAATAAATAAATCCTTAAGGCCTATTCACTGCTTTAGTGCAAGATTGCAAGGTGATAATCACAGTGGGCAACCCAGTGCATGAGGCTCCTGCCAATGTGGGATTTGGGGAGGAACAGATGTACATAGCCTACCCCTGCACATACAGAGAGGCTGTTTCCAAGGTGATAATCACAATGCATTACCATAATTACCTATTATAACATGGGGATGAAACTAATAAAAGACTATTAAAAGAATCCACACATCATATATAACTGTAGAGACTATAAGGGTTAAGATACTCACCTCTGCTGTCACCTTCCTTTTATCTTCTAAGTCAGCTTTGTTCCCCGCAAGAGCCATAACCATGTTTGGATTACCTAGAGCAAAACCCAAAATCGATGTAAAATTATTTAAAAAACATGGAATGCAAAATTTCCAAAAATCTCGATCCTATCCCTAAAGAAATAAAAGCAAACAAAAAGCAAATTACGCAACAAATTGGTTCTACCCTCCAATTAATCCTCCATAATTATGAAATAAGGAAGAAAACTATACACACCTTGTTTCTGAAGTTCTTGCACCCACTTCTTCGCCCGAGTGAACGACTCCTGGAATTCAAAAAGTAGTCATAGAATAATCAATAAAAACACCAAAGCTAGAACTGTTACACGTTTAAAACCTCACCCAAATAATGCAAAATCAGTGGTTTAGAACTGCAGATCAAACTCATCGATTGAGTTACAAAATGAATGTACAAACAATCCAATTATTGATCAAATATCAAATTCATTACTATGAAAAGAAATATTCAAATTCATTAATTTCCCAGAAAGTAAATAATCTACCATTAAAATTAAAAGAAACTAAAAACGTAGAGAGGGTTAAATAACAAAATTAAGCATCAGACCATGCTAGTTATGTCGTAGACGATTATGGCAGCAGCTGCTCCCCTGTAATACATGGGTGCCAAGCTATGGTACCTCTCCTGGCCGGCGGTATCCCAAATCTCAAATTTTACTGTCGCATCGTTCACCGCCAGCGTCTGCGAGAAAAACGCCGCTCCAATTGTCGACTCCTATCATCATAACAGCAAAAAGGCAAGGAACTCAACAAAAACTTAAATAATAGATGAATTTCAAACCCTAACCTACAATGAAAACCTTAAACAATCAAACTCATGATCAATTCTCTGAACAAAAAGCCACCTGGAATTCAAGGAATTGCCCCTTGACAAACCTCAGAACCAGACTCGATTTCCCAGCACCCATATCACCGAGAAGAACCTGTAATTGAACGAAAAGCACAATTTCAAAAAAAAAAACAATATTGTAACACCAGAAATTGAAATTGAAACCCTAGTTAGGTGTTGACTTACGAGCTTAGCATTCAGATTGTTATTTCCGATTGTCGCCATGGAAATTGCAGATCAAAGACCTTCAATTTACAGAGAAAAATAACAAAACAAAGCCTTCTGAACCTCAAATTTGAAAAACCAAACCTTCAAACAAAGCACGGAATTGGATCAGAAGGGAGGAAAATCCAGAGGAAGAAACCAAAACGAGACGAAGACTAGCCTTTAAAGTTAAACCTGTTTATTTACTCACGCCTACGTCCGGGCCCACTTCCTTTGTACAAAATTACAAAAATACCATTCGTTCTCGAATGATCGATTTATACGTATAACCTTTTTTGATTACCGGGTAGCACGACCCAAAAACTTGTCACCTGAGAGATTCGATATCTAACTTTTTATTGAAATTATATACATCGAGTTCTATGTAGCCAATTTTGGGATGATATCTTGATTAAATCAAGAACGTTCAAAATATTGACTTCAATGTCTTGACTGGCTTTGATTCTATATACATCGTGTAGTACGTTAGGGTGTTTGTATATGGAAGCAGACTCGATTCTTTTCTTTGTGTAACCAGGGAGACCGAATCTGCTCCTCACACCTGGCGCCTCATATGCACATCCTACCATGCATTGGGAACATCTCTCATACTTATTAATTATTATTCATGTGAGATGTTTCCAATGCACATAGGATGTGCATGTGAGGCACCCATTTGTGAGGAGTAGATAGTGGGGGAGGAGGATAGTATGACGAAGATGTAGGGTTAAAATTGCGACCTAAGTGAATCATTAAGGCTTTGCTCTGTACTATGGTAGGGAAATGTTTACTTATAACCATGGTTTTAAAATGAGCCAGGTTTCGCTGAACACGATGGTTGTTCAGCAAGCTGTGAAATCATGGTTTTAAAAGGTGTGGGCCCTGGCGTGAAATCTTATCATTAGTTTTATAGCCTGCCATTATGTTCAATTAATCTGAATTCTTTGAGATTAAACACTTTTTTAAAACACACCATCTCAAATATTTTATATTAGGGAAAATTTCCAATTAGTACCTTATACTTTGGACCTAATGCCACTTTGGTCCTCGAACTTTAATATGCGACAATTTAGTACCCAAACTTTTAAAACGTGACAGACTAGTTCCTGTCGTTAACTAGCTGTTAACCAGCCATTAAGTGGCATTTGAAAAAGACACAAATGTCTCCAAGTGTTATTTAATTTTCTTTATCAACCATCAAAACGTTGACAAAAAATTAATAGTGGCAACGATTTGGGACCCCAACTTTCTTGAATAGAAAAGGCAATGATTTGAGACTTAATTTTTTATCAATGTTTGGATGGTTGATAAAGAAAATTAGATGACACTTGAAGGGCATTTGCGTCTTTTTTAAATGCCACTTAACAGTTGATTAACAGCTAGTTAACGGCAAGTACTAGATTGTCACGTTTTAAAAGTTTGGGTACTAAATTATTCCATTTTAAAATTTGGGGACCAAATGGTACTAGGCCCAAAGTAGAGGGTACTAATCGGGAATTTTCCCTTTATATTATGCTATGTTCTCACAAGAGAATGTTTTTGTACCTCATATGTACAAAATAATTTTAAAATGATATTCTTAATAAAGCATTATATCATGTCTTTTTTTCCTATGTTTGATGGTTTTTAACTATTTTCACCTATGTGAACCTTATATTTAAACAAGTTTTCACATATATAAGTTTATACCATGACTACCATATGGCTATGCAATTTACCATGTATGCGATTTGTGATTTACATGAGGTCTTAATTTGCCATATCCACACTTTCTATGCTGAAAATTCTCTATTCAATTTATCACTTGATTAATATATAATCTCAACCGGATAAAACAAAGTTGAGAGACATTTGTAGGTAAATTGAGCCAAGAGTTTTTGGTTATTTTAATATTGTCCAAACAATAATTGGTATTAATGCCAAATTACATCTAGATCCCAAAACCATAAATTGCTTAAACCTTTGCAACTTCAAATTGAAGCCTAACACTTTTTTTCTACACCTACCTTGTTAGCATGAGAATAAATTGCAATTTTGCAAGTACACCTTCCTTGTTAGCAGAGCTATTTATGCATGCAAGACTAGTGTATAAAGATCAGTAGATGCAAGGTCAAGTCATTCTAGAGATTGAAGTGACATGGCACCCTAGATTTGCCACCAACAATACACTACCAACACAACTTCCAAAATGACCTAAAGCCACACTTTTCAAACACAATTGCCACCTCAAAAGCATGACCCCATCAATAAGGGGCCTTCAAGACAAGTTGTATTCATGGGTGTATTCATCCATGTTGCATAGAGATAATACTAATTTGATTACAGATCATAACAGGACTCATTAGATAAAGTAGAAAATTATTAATCCATGCATATGCCACATATGTCTATAAACACACACACACATACAAATACAGTAACAAGGGGGATCTACTAATGCTTTTTCTTATAACTTCTCTAACAAGGATCATTTCCATTTGGTTTAGGACTTCAGATTCCAAGGGCAAGAGGACAATAACGGCTTTCTAATGTTCTCCTTGATATAGTACAGCCAAAAGCTTAAGGCTCTATTTATAAACCAATGTCAATCTTGGTTTCTAAATACATTCTATCATTTCAAATACTTGAAGTTTATGCTGTTAGATAATGTATTCCCTTGACTCTAATCAGATTGATGTACATAAACAATTATCAACAAATGAATATAAAGTACAATATTGTTTCATATCAGTGTGTTTTCTATAAATTACTCCTTCAACTAGACACTTGTGATACTTGTGTTAGCTTAAAATATTCTCAGCCATTGGATAAACTTGTGGAGTTTATCCTCACAAGGATGATACTAGTGTGTTGTCGAACTAGTGGAACAACTTGTCCCAACTGTTAGAGTTAGACTCCAAACATAGTCAATGAGTGTTTAGAAGAAACACTGAACCTATACCAATTTCCAGTTATGCCCTAAACCTTGGAGATAAATGGGCAAAATTGGAAAGTTGTACTTAACTCTATACTTGATTATGATACTGCACTAGATATTGAGTTGTAGGGGTGTTCACATTAAATGTCAAACCCACCAAACTGGCCTGACCCAAACCAAGTTGGTCGATTTTTCAAAATCACTAGTCAATTTCAGTTTGTATGAGAAAATAAATTGACAACTCGGTTCAGTTTCGGTTTTCATGTATGAAAACCGAAGCCAAACCAAACCGAACCGATCCTATATTTTTAAGGAATTATTAATTAACCCCTACCCCTATATGTTAAATGTTGATATATTATATTTGTGTTTCGTTTGAACTTTAAAAAATTTGGATATTTATGATAAAAATAAAAAACGTAAAACCAATACAAATATAATACAATGGTACAATATTTAATTCAGTTTTGTATAAATTTAAATATATATTGACAAAAAATCAGTTTTTCATAAAAAATTAGTCGATTTAAATATATTTTTTGGTTTTGCATAAAAACTAAAAAGAAATAAACTTAAATATAAATAGATATTTAGATATAGGTATTTTAGTTTAAAATATATATAAAAACCGACTAAACCAATAAACTGACCCTTCATGTTTGGGTCAGTTTTGCTTCAGGGTCAGTTGGTTTCAGTTTAGTCAATGAGTAAACCGACTAAGTCGGATCAGTTGAAAAAAATGATTCAAACCGACCCAACCCGACCCGTGAACACCCCTATTGGATTAAGTTGTCTTTGATGTACCAACCAGTGAGATCCATCAAGGGTCAAATACATGGGCATATTGGGGTAGCTTGGGAAATTACATAAGTGGGTGATCATAGTGATAGGACCGACCCCTTTATCAAAAAAGTGAATATTAGCTTTTACACTCTCTTTGATGGAAACCTAAATTGTTGGTAGTGGATTTCAATTGTATTTAAAATCTAATTTGCAAAATATATTTATATATTATATTACTATTTTAAAAAAGGTTTGCAAAATGTTTTAATCTTGGGATCTATCCAAACAAAGAGTGTGGCACTGCACTTTATAGTCGGGGAAGAGGAAGTTTGCAAAAAGTTTTAATTCTAGGATCCATCCAAGTAGAGTGTAACACTGCATTTTGTAGCCAGAGAAGAGGTCCTTCCCTCTAGGTAGTGTTCTAATGATTTTGTGCCAAGAGTTTAAGTGTGATATACCATTACAGGGCTGATTACCTGATGGGCTTCATCTTACATAAGTCATTTATCATTGGGTTTTAAATAGGGTGGCTGAATCTAATGATCATTTAAATGTAAATGTTGGGCCCAAACTAAGCCCAAGATGATTGGGTCAAGGGTTCATTGTCCTAAGAAGAGAATTCGGCCTAACCTCTTCTAGAAGTAGGGCTGAACCCTCATGGACTTGTATGAGACCTTTGTGGGTCCCACGCCATACAATATTCAGGCCCAAAAGTAGCTATGCAACACATTGAGACGTAAACCATTGGAGAAAATGGGCCTAAGGCCCATTACTAATATGATTAGCTAAGTGATCAAGTTGTAATGTGGCTTGGGTTGAAAATGGGCATGGATCTAGGTGTAGAACACTTATCTTCTTAAGAAGATAATTCTTATCAATTAAAGATAAAGTCTTGATCCTATTTTGATTTGGATCAGCTCCTAATTAGATTAGGAAAGTGTTCTATATAAGGGACTAAGATGGGAGGGACAAACCAACCATTCTCTCCACTCTCTTGCTCTCTTCTCTTCTCTCTTGTCTCCTAGAAACCTTAGTTCGACCTAGCCTTCATAAGGGATGATTTCTATCAGTCCTCCATTGTGTTTTTGCAAGAAAACATTAGGGCATATTAGATTCAGAAACCCAATTCAGTCCAAGTAAGTTGGGGGTCAGTTTTGTTGAATGGTGTTGTTGAATCAGCTTCACATATGCGCTACGCCATCTTCAAGTGGAGGCCAATTTTAGAACTGATATTAGGTGTGAACTATTACTTTGGGAGTTATGCATTGTAGTCTCCATATCAAGTATGATTAGTTTTAATTTAGGTTTCAAATCTGGTTTGGTTTAGTGAAAAATTGACCCCGAAATTTTAAATTTCAAAATCATTGGGAAATTGGTTCCTAGGTTGGGTTAGAAAATTTTTGAAAATTCAGCCATCCACCAAACTTGGTTCGGCCATGTCAAACTAGATTTTTAATCCTTCCAACGTATGTAT